TGGAATTACTTGCACATTTGAAGGTGGAGACAAGATTGGTATAGTTGGTCGGACAGGAAGTGGCAAGACAACTTTGATTGGTGCTTTGTTTCGTCTTGTTGAACCAGCTGGAGGGAAAATAATCATAGATTCTGCGGACATCACCACAATAGGCTTACATGACTTGCGTTCATGTTTGGGCATTATTCCGCAAGATCCAACACTTTTCCAGGGTACTGTAAGATACAATCTAGACCCTCTTGGGCAATTCTCGGATCAACAAATATGGGAGGTAATATGTGTACCCTATAATGTAATTCACGTGTTTTTAGTTGTATTCAACAATTGGGTCAGCTTACCGTGAGAAAAGATTACTTTCAAAGAACCAGATGTAATGTTGAAATCATGAAAGTTGTCCTCTTTTCTTGACAGTGACGATTTATTCAGTTCTCTGTGATTAAATACCCAAAGGTTTTGAAAGTTTATGCCAGATTTAATCAGTCCTTTTTATGCATATGGAGACCTTCATAGATATCACTGATGATATTTGCTACTCTATTGCAGGTTCTTGACAAATGCCAACTTCTTGAGACTGTCCAAGAGAAGGAACATGGATTGGATTCACTTGGTAGGGGTGGTATTTACCATTCTTTTTGTAGATATCTTTTGTCGTACTAATGTTGTAGCATAATACATGGAGCCACCTTATTCATAGTACTAATTGTGATATTGTCATATAGTTGTGGAAGATGGGTCGAACTGGAGCATGGGTCAAAGGCAGCTGTTCTGTTTAGGACGTGCACTTTTGAGACGGTGTCGCATCTTAGTTCTTGATGAGGCAACAGCCTCCATAGACAATGCAACTGATGCTATCCTTCAGAAAACAATCAGAACTGAATTCAAAGATTGCACTGTTATTACTGTTGCGCACCGTATACCAACAGTTATGGACTGCACTATGGTCCTTGCAATGAGCGATGGTACGTTTTTCTTATTGCCTACTTATTAGAAATATATTTTATCCGCTTATAATCACTGTCTAATGGATCAGCAGTTCAGCACTGCTTATTCTGGACTATATGAATAATACTTGAAACTATATGTACTTTAGTATGGTGAGCGAATAATTCTGCTCCCCCCCCCCTTCCCTTTAATACTGATATGTGATGCTTTCAACCTTTCTTTGAATTTTCCCAACAATGTATCCATACTAACTTTTTGTACTAATGTTGTACCGTGAACACTAACCAGCAACTAAAAACATATAATTACCTGTTTTCTTTTTGGATCAATTGTTCTAGATTCTAAAAGAATGTCTCATGATTAGATGTGTTTCCATAAATCCATTCGACTAAACTATATTCACTTCCAGGGAAAATGGTGGAGTATGACAAACCTATGAAGCTCATGGAAACTGAAGGATCTCTCTTCCGAGATCTTGTCAAGGAGTACTGGTCATACGCATCGAATGGAAATATTTAGGTGAAAATATGCACTCACATGCTGCAGCATCTTGCTAGGAGTTAACAGAGGCAGTCAGAAATCTGTATCCATACTCAAGAGGAATTTTCATCTATTTGGGGTCTGAAGAGAAGACAGTGCCTCAGCCAGGTATTGTCGGAAAATGTGTTTCGTCATCTAGTTGTTACCTGAAATTTTGAGCAATATATGGTGCAACTTCTGTCCATGGGTGTTCTGCAAATGCTTAACAGAGTAAATCCACAAACATTTCCTTGCTGAAGTGATCAGATGTACGAAAGGTTAAATGATGAGATGTTCATCAATTCTGTAAATCATGCGTAGAATCAGTACTGTGCAACTGGAGATTTGTACACTACTTAGAAAAAAAATTCAATATATGTGATCTTTATTTATTTATTTTTTGGCATAGGAACCAAATTTAAAGTGTGCACACACAAAAAATGCTTCAATCTGATGTGTGATCTGTTTTTCCATAGCCAGTAAATCAAATCTTGTATACATTATTATGTAATAACCTCTTGTTCATTTTTGTGAATTTAGTACAGTATCAATCTTTATGATTTGGATATTTTATTCTATCTCCAAATAATTTTATATGAAAAAATAAACTCAGGAACAGAATCACCAGAAAATCACTCCAAATTCTTTCGACCAAAGGAGCTGTAATTCTGAGTTCGAATGCATTTTCTTTTGGGAATACGCGAGACACGCATTTTTTATTAAGAAAGAATAAATGTATGCACAATGCGGGCAATTCGAATGCATTTTCATGCGCAAATTTCAGAGGAAAGCAACCCCCGTGTACTCTTTAGTGCGGTATATATCGGTCGCATCAGTATGTATGACAGTGTACATATCGAGAGAGTACTTCAGAATGACAGAATGCAGCAACACATGAATCGGTTGATAATCGATCACTTCTGCTTTTCCCTCGGTTCCTAAATATAACCATTTTTAGGTTATTTACCAAATATTAAGTTTGAGAGGGAAATATTTCTTTTTGTCATAGATCAAATTTTGAATTGTTGAATTTTCTTCCTAAGCAACTAATTGACTGAAAATGCTTAAATTCCCGTGCGTTGAAATCAGTGTCCCAAAAATATTTATATTGCGTACAAAATTTAAATAGTAGAAATACTAATATTTAGAAACGGAGGGAGCAGTAGCTAGCTAGCTAGAGGTCTTGTGTGTTGTGTCATCCACAATCCTACCCACTCGAGGTTAACCAAGAATCTCTCCTGCTTTCGGTGCTCGATCACCCTCATTTTCATTTCACCTTCCTTTTCTTGCCATTTCTTTCATACCCATCTGGACTTCATGAAGACGATCTCTCATTATTCTTTCCTTTATTTTTATTTTTTTTTACCTTTCTTTACTTTTCAGACGCAGACAGCCATCTCGCACGCCATTCAGAAGTTCAGAGTGCTCTCACCAAAGTCTCTGAAACTTCGTACGCTCTCACACGCGTAAATCGCTCGGTTCTCATTCATGCGACGACGCTGATGTAATGTAAGCAAAGCACCTGATAGGCGACATTGTTAGGTTATTGTTTTGAGCTCTGAAAGTGAAGTCCACTCCACTGCATTGCCCCCAAAATCTTATCTTCAGTGCAAGTCAAATGATGAGAAAAGGTTTGAAGAAGACGTAGGTGAGATCTGAATTTCTGCCTGCCGAGGTAATGTTTAACAGTTAGTGAGCAGTGGCCATTTGGGCTTCTCAACTGCAGAAAAGGAGAGATCAGATGTTGTCAACTGACATGAGCTGGTAAAGGTTACTGGTACAAAGTATTACAGTATCATGACAACATAATGATCATCAAGTTAAAAGGTGTTCACGATGTAGCAAAAAAAAGTAGTTTCAGCAGTTAGCTAGTGCTCTTGTAAACCTTTGAATTGCTCTGTAAACTTTAGCTAGTGCCCTTCTTCATGTAAAATTAGCTAGTACAAACTCATTAATTACAAAGTAATTTTGCCGAAATCCAGTAAAATTCTTGTGCTCCAAAGGAGTCATAAAAATGCAAACTGCATTTTGATCAGGAGTTTGCGTATCCGACACCTGCCACCTTTTCTTAAGGTGCAAAGCATTCTAGCACACTGAGATCAGATATGCACTCACAAAAAAGAAATGTAGAAAATAGAAAAAGGTGATTACCATGAGGTCGCTTGCTAGAAATGGAACCTACACTCACCAATCACCAATTTTCCAAAGCCTATACAGTAGATTCACCTCGAAACGGAGTGTCGGCAAATGGAATAAAACGAGCCAAAAAAAATTTCAGCAAAATGGAGCAGAGAGCTTTGTGCGCCGTAGTTGTCACGCTGCACTTTCAGAGATTTAATTAGGTGAAGGGAGGATTTGATTAATGCGATTGGAATTCGGATGAAAGAAAGAAGATTTCTTCAGCCGCCTTCTCCTCAGTGTCAGTGGACGCTGGATTTGATTCTCATCATTTCTCAGAAACAGGATCGAACACAGTGTTTCCGCCACGACAGGATCTAGCAACTGTTGGTGCACATTGAACACAGTGTCAATCATATCACTGAATAATTGTCATTAGTTTGCAACATTCTGAAAAAAGTCTGAAGAAGAAAAAGAACTTCGATTTTTGTCTGAATCCATCCATCACTCTTCTCTTTTCAGGAGAAAGGAGGATGAAATTGGTGATCATTCGCTTCTCTTCTCTCTTCCTGACCACTCACAATTTCATGCCGTCGTTGCACATTTCTGCACGCGCAATGTGCGCCATTTTCAGACAGAGACGCGAGCAGCAAGCATGCGTGAGTGATTTCATATGCTCGTTGCAATCCACCAAATTTTTCCACGAGCATATATATATATTTCAGTGTTCATCCATTTTACAGAGAAAAGCTAGTGGATCCATGCATGCATCAGAAGCTTTCAGATCACCAGTTCACCACATCTCCTACAGTTCTACTAATCGTGCCATCTTTACGAGATAAGCATAAGGAGAAAAAGACCATGATTCAGATATGATTCATTCATCCATTTTTCTTCTGCACTTTCCGATGCAAATTAGCAGCAGAAAAAATGTCACACGGCAACAACCATTTCACAAGTCAGAGGAGAGAGACATTGCATTGCCAAAAGGTCTCTTGGAAATGGAGGTCTCTGTCGTCTCCTCTGCATAACAGCATTAAGATTCGGATTAGGTGTTGGGCTGTTTGAGGGGAATCTGGACATTGACATTGTTCAGTGAAATTCCAGGTCAAGATTCCCTTCACCGGCGCGGCCGTGAAATTTTTCTTCGGTGTTTTACAGTTTTCTCGATGAAAAGATTATTCGATCCAACTTTATATAAAAGAAAGCCCAAGAGATTTCTTACATGATAGAAATGGAAATATCGACTTAGGATCGGAAGATAGCGATGTCATGTGCTCTAGTATTAATTAACTTGTTTTTTAGTCATGTATCTACGATTCCACCACCACACCATACCACTGGTGCTTTCCGAGAAACTAATGAATTTAACAAGAGTACAAGAACAGAAGATGAAATTGTACCTATATAAACAGATCATATATAAAAAATAAGAGAAAAACAATACTATCCAGTAATTAATTTTGGCAGAGAAAAATTGGCAAAATGCATGTACATTTCATCTTGCACTTACAAGTAAAGTTTCCCTTGTTTTTTCTCTCGTGTTTTTCTTCCCCATGTAACCATGTTAGATTCTTCTCTACTAATTAACGTGATAGTCATCATACCCCTAATCTCCTAATGATTGAGGCAACACAAAAAAAAAAATTCAACAAACAAAAAAGAAAAAGAAAAAGGTAGGTCGAGATTGAGCTGTGCATAAGTCAACGGTCAACCACACACCCTGCTACACCTTGAAGTCTGCAGCCTCGTCCTGCACCTTGGCGCCGTCGAGCGCGGCGGCGCCGGCGCCGGCGCCACCGCCCTCCTCGGCGTCGTAGCTGGCGTGCACGCTGTAGAGCACGTAGACGAGCACGGCGGCGGCGGTGAAGAAGCCGAAGCGGACGTAGGAGGGGCGGTCGAGGGAGCCGAGGAGGAAGACGTTGAGGAACACCGACGCCGCGGGCACCCACGGCATGGCCGGGACGCCCCACAGCTCCGGCCGCCGCGCCTCCGCCACCAGCGCCCGGAACGCGCCGACCGTCGCCACGGCGGCCGCGCCGCACGCCGCGAGGAGCCCCGTCCTGGCGCGCCCCGCCGGCGCGAACTGCCACAGCAGCGTGAAGCAGAGCGCCACGAGCGAGAAGGCGGCGAGGAACACGAGCGTCGGCCACGCGCGGCGGTGGTCGGCGTCGTCGTCGTCGGCGGCGACGTAGCGGCGGTAGACGACGGCGTTGGCGACCATGTAGAAGACGAAGAGCGTGCCGATGGAGACGAGGTTGAGCAGCACGTCGAGCTCCGTGAACAGCGCCAGCGCCGCCGTGAACACACCTGACGAACACACCAAACCGCCAATATTACGAAAACACCCCCAAAAAGCGCGGGAAACCACTGTTTTATTTTTTAGAAAAAAATAGAAGAAAAGGAAAATGATTCAACTATTTTGGATCATTTTGGCGTTGAATCCTAGTAGACATCCACGAGGAGAAGTAGGCGTTCTCATCGTCGGTTTCGATTGAGCCAGAATAGACCCAAGCAGCGCACTAAGTACAAATTAACCAGTTTCTGTAGTATTTGTTTCTCCTGTTGATCGATATTTGGAGCCCCAAAAAACCCGTGTCCATGTCTGCTGCCTTTTCAATTATCAAGCAAGCCTCCCATGAGTAAAAACAGTTGCAAGGTCACGAAAAAAAAAGTCCACAAAAAGCAACCACTATGTGTAGCAGTAGCATATATAGTTGCAACGGCTCATCGCTCTCGTTTGGTAGAACTCCCAATTCCTATCCATATTTTTACTTTTTTTTTCTGATCCTCTTCCTTTTAGTTGACTAGTGCCGTGCGATTATTATGGTGAAATGTGTTTTGTGGTGGTAGAGAGATGAGCTCACCGAGGAAGGCGGAGGCGTTGACGGGGGTGGCGGTGCAGGGGTGCACCTTGGCGAGCCACGCTGGCATGACGCCGGAGCGGCCGATGACGCAGAGGTACCTGGCCTGACCTAGCATCGCCACCATGAGTGACGTCAGGATGCCGAGGCTGGCGCCGGCGCCGATCACGTTCGACACCCACCCCCATCCGGAGCTCCCCTTGAACGCCCCTGAGAATGGCGCCTCCGTGTCTATCTGCACCACCAAAACAAAAACATACTTATGATTAACAAATTGCTTAATCCGAAAATTATTACTGCACGGTTATTAGCACCGTAATAGTGTCAGTTATTTCTATGGTCCACACAGGAGAGGATAAAAAAGAAGTAGGGGGCATAGAAAAGGTGAATTTTGAGATGCTTCAGTGATCGGTCATCTATACTAGCTAGGAAAGTACAGTGGCCTCTCACTGTGGGGTGTCTTCTGATGGGGACAGCAGATTCACCACGAATGAAGTCGCAGGCAGGCAGGACAAACATCCCAAAAAGGCAGTGAGAAAAAATAAAACAGAAGCTGAGCTGCATGGTCTCTACTGCGCCACTTCACCATAGCTCCCCAACATATTCCCAGAATTATCCCAAGTAAAAGTTCAGACAACACCACGAGCTACCTCTACATGCCTATCCAGGAATCCCGACTTTGCCGTAGACGGAATCCTGGAACATTTCAGGATTTGGTTTCTCTCAAAAGCTTATGCATATATCGATTGTACACGGATTTACCGTTGGTCTTCGTATTTTCGAGCCTTTGTCAAAGGAACATATTCACGGGTGTGTGCATGTGGATGCACGTGTACAATAATATGTGTATGCCTTACGTGTAATCATGCAAATAAATGCAAAACAACAGTAGAGCTAATTAATTACTCTTAAGATTATTAGTATATTGCATAAAGTAGAAAAGAAAATTACTTACCGCGTCGTAGGGGAGGAGCATGGACATGGAGGCGGCCATGAGGCAGTAGAGGAGTGTGACGAGCACGACGGAGCCGGAGACGCCGACGGGAATGTCGCGTGACGGCCGCTCCACCTCCTCGGCCATGGTGGACACGGCGTCGTACCCGATGTAGCTCAGGTACACCATGGCGGCTCCGTTGAACACGCCGGCTGCGCCGTGAGGAAAGAACCCGCCCGGGTTGTGCGCCAGGTCGACGGGCCGCGTCAGGTTCCGGGTGTCGCCGCGCCAGAACCCCATCACTATGATGAACAGGATGAACGCCACGTGCACCGCCGTTAGCACCATGTTCACCACCGAGCTCTCCTTGGTGCTGAGAACGTATATGATATAAATTTTGTCAAAAATACAATTCAAATTAGGCATGAAACAAATACTGTAACTAATCTGTCAAAACACTTGAAAGAGTTTACGAAACAAATCCCACATTTTGGCAACGAGGTACTGAGAGCTACTAATTTTCTTTTGTTAGAAAACATGGTAAAAACGAGTGCTTATAGAAACCATTTTTTAAATATTTTATCGTTCAAGTTTGCTTGGGAAATGGGCTGTTTGTTGTAACTGATAAGCAACCCCTATAATAAAAACTTTTGAGATTCCTTTTCTGGAGAAAGGATTGCTCATGTTACCTACACAAGTCAGAGAGAAGAGAAAAGAAGGCATGGTGGTTGTAGACTTGCATACATTGCACACACTGAATTAGAATAGTGATGGGCATGCACACAGGAAGATTCTTTCCTCTGCCCATAACAAATATCTCAAAATTTTTCAAGAATGGATAGAACTTGAGGAATTTTAATTAGCCCCCACTTGCTCTCAACCTTTTGGAATGTAGCCATTTCAAAGAAAACTAGGTTCCAAGAGCAGTTGGTTGCAGAGAAAGGAAAAACAAGCAGCAACCACCAGAACCAACCTACACCAGTAACCAAGAAAAAACCCCAAAGGCTGATCATTGGATGAATACAGCACACTTGCAAGAACAAAGTCCAAAGAAAGGAGAAAAAAAAATTAACATGGGAACCATAGATTGATACTCCTACACATAGATAAAATAGGAAGCCTACTTGCTTCGTAATTCGTACTTTGGAGTCTTCTGTCAAGAGGAACACCATGGTCAAAACAAGTATCGTGACAAGAAGCAGAGAGGACAACACAAGCAACAAAAAACCTTTAATATATAGTAGCTGATAAAAACCAAAATAACAATTCATGAAAACAACTTTAATACCAAATTATTAAAAGCCAAGGCTAAAATATGAACTACGATGAAAAAAAATTCTAATTCCAACTCTAAAATTAGAATTAGGTTGTAAAATTTAAATTTTAACTAATACTAATAAGTTGAAAGACAAACGATAAAGCTAAACAACAAAACAGATGCACATTTATTTGGAAGAAAAAGAAAGAGAGGAACTTGCGGCTCCATCATTTTGCTTATTCGGAAAATAAGCCAAACGGTATATTTGCAAAAAAAAATAATTTATGAATATAAATTTTATATACATGTTTTTAACGATCTAAAAGCAAATGCTGAAAAATAAACTTTGATAAAAAAATCCCAAAATCAACTCTAAATTTAAAGTTAAAAATTCAAATTTTGGCTGATAAGCATAAGCATAAGCGAAAAGATAGAGCTCTCTGTGTTATTACCTGTAGCAGATGCAGACGGAGATGAGGAGGATGACGCCGACAGCGATAAGGTCAACCTCGTTGAAGCCCTTGGGGAGGCCCGGCACGGCAATCCGCCACTTGCTCGGCGCGTCGACGCCCACCGCCGTGCCGAGGTACGCCGTGAAGCTCCTCGCCACGGCGGCGTTGGAGAAGACATACTCCATGATCAGGTTCGCCCCGGTCAAGAACGCCGCCAACTCCCCTGAATTATTATTCACCAACAAAAAAAAGAACCACACTTGAGATTCACAAAAGAAGAACATGATCAAAACTCATCGAAGAATGCCAAATGCTACAAATCAAGTTACTACTTTGATGAGTAGTTTTCAGAGAGAATCAGTTAATTAATTACAAGCATGGTAGGAAAGAAAATTTTCAGAGCATTGTGAAAGGAAATCAATTGCATGCAAAATTACAGAGGAATGTCAGGATCTTCATCTTGGTGTTGCATGGTGGATGGTGAAAATGAGTGGGGTCTTGTGTGCATTTGGACGAAAAGAGCAAGGCCTTTGGGAGATGCAAGAAAGGGACTACCAACATTATTTGGATATGGATGTCCGTATGTATGTGTGTGCGTGTGCATTAAAATTAGTTGAAAGTCACACTCAACTTTTTTCGAGAGATAGAGAGAGCAATAATACTTCTCTTTTTTTTCTTCTGTTGTTCTCCATGCTAGTAGAATCTACTACTGTTTTACTCCAGCATCAGTTGACAAATCAGTGTCAACCAGCAAAGCTTGTGTAAATTAGGATATTGTAAATCTTTTAAATCACAAGGGAGTTTTGTACTGTTGAACGATTGCTTCCCTCCTTAATTACGGTGTCTCTCTCTCTCTTTTTGACGATTTGGACGCATTTTATTTTACAGTTGGAAATGAGTTTTTTTTTTAATTCTTTACCCTGGCGGCAAAAAAGAAAGAAAGAAAGCTTTTGACAAACACAAAGAAAACCAGTAAGCAGACAAGGAAAAACAGATATTCTCTTGGAAGAAAAAAGGGGAAACAAATCCAACCTTAAAAGTAAATGAAGAGCCAAAGTGTCCAGCATATGGTACTTTTTTGAAAAACTCAAAATTAGTTTTTAAAAAGCAAACAACAACTGCTAGATCACAAAAATGTACCAATCAATGACAACACAGGTACTACAAATTTTTATCATAAATATACTCCAAATGACTCGTGAGATACGAAAGGACAACACAGAAGAAGCAGGCTCAGAAGCGTCATGTTCATGAGACGACATCGCACTTGCACATGAAAATGCGCAAAAAAAAAAGGTACGCTTCTTGTGAGGCTTTGATCAACTGGACAAGAGGAAGAAAAAAAAAGATAGAGATATATAACCATCAAATATTTGAGAAAAGGAAATCTCTCTCTCTCTCTCTCTTAAAATTTTCGGCATGTCATTTCACAATGCCCATGAAAATAATCGCACGAACGAATTGAAAACCAGCAGAATCAGTAATAACAAACTAATTTTGATACCAAAAGATAAACGAACAGAAAAGAAAAAGATTTTGCATTGTTAGTTTTGAGTATATATGCATGGAAAGAGATAGGATCCGTTAAAATTGGCGTCAATGGCAACGATATCTATAACTGATATAACGGCCATGGCTGGCAGCTCACCGAAGGTGACGCGGAGGTAGCTGAAGGCGCCGCCGGCGACGGGCATGTCGACGGCGAACTCGGTGTAGCAGAAGGCGGAGAGGAGCGCGCAGAGGCCGGCAATGGCGTACGACACGACGACGCCGGGCCCGGCGTAGAGGCGCGTGGCGCGCCCCGTGGTGACGAACACCCCGGCGCCCACCATGCCGCCGAGCCCGAGCCCGACGAGGTCGTGCCACCGCAGCCTCCGCGCCATGCGCGCGCCGGAGCGCGCGCGCACCCGGCTCATCTCCTCCCCCGGCGACGTCGCGGCGCACGCGCGCCGCGCCAGCCGCCGCGGCGTCTGCGCCAGCGCGCGGCCGTAGGCGCGCAGGCTCGAGAACGAGCCGCCGGCGGCGGCGGCGCCGACGCCGCCGTTCGACGAGTCGTCCATCACCTGCACCACCAGCGCGCCCTTGTCCATGATGGCCGGCGGCGTTCCAAGAATCCGGCGAGCTCCTAGACAAGGAGTGGTCTGGGTGCGCCGCGGCGGCGGTGCGTCGGGTCAGCGTGAATGCGGCGAGGGTGGAGGAGAGGCTCGAGGGAGGTATATAAAGAGTCGGATGTGGCGGGGACTTGGGTGTGGTAATTAACTTCTCGATCTCGTGCCATGGTGGCTCCTTGACGGCAAATTAACGGCCGCACGAAAAATTAATATTTATTTTACATGGAGCCAACAAGTTTAGCTATTTAGATTGATCAATAATTTTGCATATAGTCAGGTGGATTACTATTACTTCACGTTTTATATGATTTTTTCTGAATTTTTGTAGATTTATTTGTAAAAAAATCATGGTTTAGTGAGACGTTGTGGAAAAAAAAACAAAAGTCATGGCTTAGCTAACATCTTGCTTCCTCCATCGTAAAGAAGTATAGTAACTTTTAGGTACTGATTTGAATAACTTTTCTAAGTACATATAGCTAAAAATTACTATATTTTTAGATGAAAATAGTAGTTTATTTTAGCTCCGCCACTACGAATATTGTGATTTCTTTTATCTAAATCTTCTTAATTTCAACACCAATAGAATTTTTTTAGCATATAAATAGGGATAAATGTCACAATTAAAGTAGTTAACGCTGTTGGCCTCTTCTTATCTCAACTCAGAAAATTATAAACGTAAGAAACTAAACACACAAAAGGAGGTACGAGGCTAAGATGTAGGTTTTTTCTTAAAACACGGAAATTTTATATTAGGATTTCAGGAATCGATATGATTTATTTTAAAAAAACTCTAAATATCCTCCATCCTAAAATGAGGCTTTACGCTCTGTTTTAGAGAGCTCTAACTGGAAGAATGTTTAGAATTTGCTATATCCATAGCATAAGAAGCATTGTGATAATTGTGAGGGACCAAGGTCAAGACAATCTGCACATCAAACTCGATCGGCAATAATTTACTTTGGAACAAGATTCTGTACGTTTAATATTGTACTGCTAGTGTTATAAGTGTCACATTATACTGTTTAGTGTTTAATTATTAAAAGAATATTGTGTCTAAATTGAACCTAACTGACTACAGCGATGGTAGCTGTATCATAGTACTGGTATACGGGTATATATAGTACCACTAAAAAGAACCATACATATAGAGAAAAGCATTTCGAGGATTTGAGCTAACGTGGAGATCTAGAAACAGTGACGTCGCAGGATTGGTTTTGAAGCTTCCATTGATATTATCCGCTTGAGACACGTTGCGAATCTTATTTTCTTCTTTGAGCGATGAGTTAGTTATCAGTATACTTTGTACCACATGTCTACATGTATGCCGTACAAAGAAGAAAATAGCTACTCCCTCTGTCCCAAAATACAAATATTTTTTAATAGTATCAAGTTAAATATTTTTAACTCTGAGTATTAATATAAAAAAATTAAAAGATCAATAATACAAACTTGATGTTACTAGATTTATCATTAAACAAACTATCATAATATGCAACTTTTTTTATTTAAAACATCTCACTTATATACATATTGTTGGTCGTGGCTAATGGGCGGGTGATCGCTCCAGGCGGCGATCACCCCCATCCCCTCTATACGCTCCTCTCCCCATTCCTCCTCCCTTTCTTCTCTTCCTACTACACCATAATTTTTTTTAAAAAAATAAAAAAACAAAGTTGAAAAAATTATGTATAGAAATACTACATAAAAAAATATTTGAATTCAAATTCAAATTTGAAACGGGTATGTAAACTTTTGACTTATAAACTTTAGGTCTATAAACTAATATTTGAATTCAAATTCAAATTTGAATCGGATATATATGTAAACTTTTGACTTATAAACTTTGGGTTTTTAAACTTTAGGTGTATAAACTTTAGATATATAGAAATACTATATAAAAAAGTATTTGAATTCAAATTCAAATTTGAATAGGATATATAAACTTTTGACTTATAAACTTTGGGTCTATAAATTTTAGGTGTATAAACTTTAGATTTATAGAAATACTATATATAAAAAATATTTGAATTCAAATTCAAATTTGAATCGGATATATAAACTTTTGACTTATAAACTTTGGGTCTATAAACTTTAGGTGTATAAACTTTAGATTTATAGAAATACTATATATAAAAAATATTTGAATTCAAATTCAAATTTGAATCGGATATATAAACTTTTGACTTATAAACTTTGTGTCTCTAAACTTTAGATGTGTAAACTTGAGGTGTACAAACTTTATGTGCATAAATTTACTAAAATAGAGAAGTAATGCGGTGCTAAAAAAGGAAACCACGTGAAGGAGGGGTGGCGATCGCCCGTTAGCCTTGTCAAAGTAGCATCTTGAAGACTGTGTTAAATTTCAAAAATGCTTATATTTTGGGACGAAAAGAGTAATTATGAAAACAATTAAAACAAAAACAACAAAAATTCTAGGAGGAAGCAACATTTGTGAAGTCGTGGGTGCATAACTTCATCTACCATGATTCAAATCCTGATGCCACAAATATTATACACTCGCAAGTAGGCTTCAAGAGAAATTCAGTGAGATTAGTGATGTGTGTTGATGGTTTCCATTTCTTTAGATGTGTATTAGAGTGCGTATTCGTGGGTGTGTAAGTGTGATGTTGTGTGTGCAGTGGCGTCTGCGTGTAATGGGAAAAAAAAGAATGCTTTGCTATGATTAACTTCAGGGTCTTCGATCTATCTTTTCTTTACAGGATCAATCATTGCTTGATTTTCGTCAGGTGTCTTTTGTTCTTCCATGAGCCATCAGATCCAAATTAATCAAAAAAACTCATCATCTCTCTCAAGACATTTTCTTAAGCAACGAGGCTTCTCTCTTCAAATTTCAATTTCTTTCCCCCCGAACGCTCTGCCACCACCATCTCTAGCGGCTTACCCTGTTGATCAAAGTCTCCTTTTGTTGCCCGGGTGAATAGCTAATTCAGTCCCTCAAATTTAACCGAAGGCTCAATTTAGTTCTTCATGTTTCATTTTGTCCATATAGGTCCTCTAAATATTTGTTTTGGCTTAAAATTATCCTTGAGCTCACTTAATATGCTATATGGCTATTTCTAGTCAACAATTTTGTTAGAAAATGTCTCTTTTGTTCTTAATTTGTATGCAACTATACACTAGAAAAGAAAAACCAAGATGAATAAACAATATTTTTACTTCCCATTATTTCAACATGTACACATGAAACTTGAGCCTAATAGCTATCGTATACACTTGCAAGTACATAATTTATTTTCGTTTTACATAAATTGCTATCCATTATCTATAAAAAAAATTCATTGCACGCAACTTTTTCTCTTATATACGTGAATGAGGGGGGGTATAATTGTCATTTATCTAGAGAGTTATCGGTTATGTGAGTTTAAGGATAAGTTGAAATTAAAATAAAAACTTGAAGGATTAACATGGACAGATTGAAACATCAAGAACTAAACTGAGTCTCATATAAAACTTGGAGGACCACTTTAGCTATTCACCCTTTGTTGCCTCCAAACTCCATCCATTGTTTGTGTATCTCATATATATGTTGTTATAGTGACACTGCATCTACCTCTTGCAGTGCCGCTCTACATCTCACCACCATTTTTCTCCTTTCCCGTTGTTACCATCCTAGAGGTTTTATGCAAGAGAGAAGCGAAATTGAGAAAATATCAGTTAACTGATGGTGTATGGCTAAACTTTAGATCTACGCCTCATCCAATTATCGGTGGTGGAGCCAGCAGAAACACGGTTGAATTTAGGTGGTGAAGATTATTTCTCGATTGAATTTAGGTGGCGAAGATTATCTCTATGATCGATAGTATTTTTCGAGTATTTTCACTAATCGATAGTGGAGATGGGTCTGCCATTGCCAATTGTCACAGTGACATCCAATTTCTCGCGTGCGTTTAGGCTCTTGCAGCAGGGTCATGCCCATGTCGACCCGGCGGCGGCCGGCCGGCCGGCGATGTGTCACGTCGACCTCGATCGATCGATCGAATTGAAGCTTGCTGCTGACTGATCCGTCTCGAGCGGTGTGCCGTACGTGGCCACCAAATTGACCCATATCCATCACAACCTGATCTGACACGATGCATGTACTCAGGCTACAGTAGGATCTCAGGCTTCTCGAGGCCAGTCAGGCAGGCTGTTGCATCTTCCCTTCCCATTTCATCGCAATGCACTCCCTGTTCCACTCCACTGTTGACTACTGCTACTCTCCCTCCTTTCTATAAAAAAACAAATTACTCCCTCCGTCCCATAATATAAGGGATTTTAGTTAGATATAACAAATTCTAGTGCAATGAATCTGGGCAGACCGTCTATCCAAATTCATTGTATTAGGATTGATCAAATCCATCCAAAATCCCTTATATTATGGGACGAATGGAGTAGTATTGGATTATCGGAGTATGATACACCTGAGTACTTTGAATCTGGACATACATCTGTCCAGATTGATTGTCCTAGAATATATCATATATAGTCATATATCATATATAGTCATAGA